GTTACAAAACTGCAAGCGGTCAAGATTGCATAGTGATATAGTGATAGATGAACTTTTGAATGGAATAGGCACATGATTCATAGTATCTATGAATATTCCAAAATCTCATAGTTTTAAATAAATGATCATCCATTTTACAAGTTATTAAATAATGAATTTATTTTAATTATTTAAAATGTGTTCTTTTTTTGAATGAATTGAATGAAAGGAAATAAATACTTTTAAAAATTTTTTTGGTGTAATGTATTCACAAATTATTTTATATTGCATAGTGTGTATATATATATAGTCTAAATTTATCTATTTATTACTGATATTATAATTCTATTAACTTGATAAAGAAACCAAAGACCACATATACAAAGGAATTATTAGATTATCGTTTTGATGTGATGCTGCTTCCAAAAGAGCTAATAATAAAAATTAGTAATAAATATAATCTTCATTATCACAATATAATTAATAATGTAAAAGACAAGAAAAAGAAAACTTACCACTCAATGATACTTTTATTGTATAAGTAGTCCACTAAAAAAATATAGCTATTCAGAAAAATATAATTAATTATAAAATCAAAAATCACGAGTATTATATACTTACATTTTCATTCTTTGGCCACATATTATCAGCCATCCAAAATTTTGATAAAACAAATACACCCAATAATTGAAAAAAAATGAATGCAACGAATCCTTCAACTGTTTTAGATGTGCCTGGCCATTTATGACAACCATACCTTCTACCAATCACTGAAGCCTATATTATAATTATCATGATTATTATAATACAATTGCTAAATATTTATAATATAAATATTTATTTAGAAATTACCATAGAATCTCCAAGGCCTAACGTCAATATACCCGAAAGATTTGCAAGGATTGAATTCCTAAACAGGTTATTTTTAAAAAAAAATTAATAATAAAAAATTAAAATTACAAATAATAATAATAAAAATGAGGGTATGAAAATGATGGATTTATATGCCTGTATAATTTTATT